GACCTAATGTAGTGTCTGATTGACTTAGAGTAAGTGTCTTTCCCTGCTTAACAGATGTTAAATATTGATCCTTTGCTCACCTAACCCTGCATTCTGCCATAAGGCATATTACTCAAGGTCATGGTGAAGAGGGGCCAGGAGGGGGCACATTCCTCATTCTTGTCTCATGCTTATTTATTATCCTCATCTCTATCTCTTAGTCTTCACTCTATTCTGGAAACTTCCCTACATCCCCAACTCTATTACGTTGACTTTTCAAACCTTGTTGTTCCTCAAGAACTAAGTTAAGCCATATTTCCTCCAGGAGCTCAACTCTTCCAGGCTGTGTAGATCGCCATTGTTCTAAACTTGTATAATATTTGTAGCCTGTACCACATAACCTGTCACCTAAGGATGTGATTTCTTATATTATTCTGGAAGTATTTCATGTGCATTTAACTATTATCTTCAACTAAATTAAAAATTCCTGGGCAGAAAAAAATTATGCGTTATCTATTATCTATATTCATCACTTGGTAATGTATGAGTTACAATGTACTAGATATACAGTAGCTCAAATAACTTTAACTATATAACAAATCAATTAGTTAGTAGGGTTGAAACTATTTGAATACATGTGTTTTTTAATCACTAAAGAGGGATACATTTGTTTATCCTTGTATGAATTCAATTTTCTTAACTTACCACATTGTCAATTTTGTATGTAAATTATAATAATATTTTTCACTAAAAAATAAACTCCTAATTCCAGACAATTTGGTCAAGGGTGGGGAAAGGAAGAGAGCAATCAGTGTCTTTAGAAAACAAATTACTGGGCACTGTACATAGACATTTGTCCTTTGCACTTATCTGCACTTTGCAATAACATCCTAGGTTCTCATGATTTATGACATACTGTAAGTATCAATAAATAAAGTGCTGTAAGATGTGAGGTTCAACCATTTCTGGAGATGGTCTCATCAGAATGGAGAATAAATTAGTATAAATATAAATTATTTGTAAGAGACCGGCTTTAGGACCCAGGGCACTTGAACGAGTTCTAGGACTTCCATATGTTTGCTGTAGAACCATAGATAAATCTCTTAACAACCTATTTGGCCACGGATTCTCCCCTTATAAAATAACAACAATAGCACTTGTTATGCTTCTGTCTTAATGATTTCATTAAGATTCAAACTAGGTAAAAGATGTAAAAATACTTGGAAAAACTTACAACACTGATCAGATATATGGTAGTCTCTTGATTTTGCTTTGGTTGGAAACAGAATTATGCTTTTGAAAGAATTTCTAGATGATAAAAACATATCACATTTTGCTGTTAGGCTGCATGCATATTGCCAAACATCAAAAGGAAACTACTCAGATGTTTGGTCTACCAACATGTCAACCATCTGGAGGTTTCCAAAAAAAGTATTTAAGTCCTTATTATAGCAATGCTCTTGGAGGTTTTTTGTTTTTTTGTTTTCTTTTTTTTCTTAATAGCTCTGTGACATCTGATAATTTTAATGGAAAAAATTTTCATTTAAACTGATGATTGGTGATATGCCACTTACACCACCTTTTAAAGTTGTCCAAATCTCTAGGCCACTTTTCTGAAGATGCATATATTTTTGTGACAAATGAAGAATCATTAAGAAATTGAAAATTATGTAATAATAAGTTAGGTGTTGCCCCTTCCCCATGATATATACCAGTTTTTGAAGGTTGGATGTTACTAAGCAGAATTTCAAAGGGCCCCTTGTACCTCATTTCCTAGCCCATATATCTATGTAATGTCTTAAGTAACAGAAGTAGAACATTCTTTGAAGGTGGAAAAGAACTGAAATCCTGACTCCTTTCTTTTGTAATTTATAAGTCTATGTTGGATAGGCTGGAGTAGCCTGACCAAGGCAAATTTCATAAAGAGATAAGGGATCATTTAGGTAACAACAACAACAACAACAACAACAACAAGAAAACAACAACAAAAACCAATAAAAGGAAGAGGAAAAGACCAGATTATATACTTGGATTTACTCAATAGGGGAGAAGAGAGTGGAGATGGGCTCATGATCATATTCCTAGGCAAATAGAATCCATCCTACCCCGTGACCTGGCCATTCTGAATATACTGATATGCCTTGGTGAAATGACTGCATGTATACGACTTAAAAACTTTGCATTTAATGTGCTCTGTCAGTGGTATGCTGGTAAAGTTTTAATAATTGACTCTCTGAAAAAACAAATGCATGTACACACATAAATGCATATATGTTTCTTGTAGATTTTGCTGATATAAAGGATATCTGACATAATTTTAAAATAATAAAACATGTGGTATTCTTTATTATAAATTCTATATAGCCATTAGGTTTTCACAGAGTGCTTTCACTGATTTCTGTTGAGCATTTATGTCTGAGGCCAAACTATAGTTGCATGTGATATGTGAGTGTAATTCTGATATGAATATTAATTCATATCTTTGTTTAGGTGAATGAGGGAATTGAAACAACAAAGCTATCTATTGGAATTTCACTCATTTGTTAAAGATGTGAGTAACTTTGTTGAATTGGACAATAGTTTTCAAATACTGAAAGTAATATCAGGTTTTTGTGCTATTCACATTGTAATTGTTTATAAAGGCTCATTTTTAAAATTTAATCTGCATTATAATTTTTTTCCAAAACTTTCTTAAGTATAGACAATAAGCAAATCAATAAATGATTAATAGCATTTGCTTATTTCTGTAATATAATCTTTCCACAACAGTCCATTTCAAGCTACCAATGTGACATCACCGAACATGCGGTAGACATGTATAGTTGCACATCGTTATATTACACTTCCATTACACATAGTAGAATGAAACAATCAGAGAAGCATAGGTTAAAATGTAGTGTAATAGGAAGTTGTAAGTTTTGAGTATGTCCTTTGCTTTTGTGATGATTAAGCAATGTGTCAACCTGAGAGCACTATGAACTGTTCAGATTAAATACTATTTTTGGTGTGTCTACACGGGTGTTTCTGGACTGGTGTAACATGAATCTATGGGCTCAGTAAAGCAGATTGCCCTCTTCAATGTGGTTGCATGTCATCCAGTCTGTTGAGGCACTGACTAGAACAAAGGGCAGAAAAAAGAGGAATTCACTTTTTATTTCCTGTGTGCCTGCTTGAGGTGAGACATTTCATCTCATTTTCTCCTGCCCTTGGACTAAATTGAACTGCCAGCTCTCCTGGTTTTCCAGCTTGCAGATGGCAGATTCTGGGACATCTCAACATTCATAATCATGTGAGCAAGTTCCTCATAATAAATAATTCTTCACAAATTTCAGTCTCTCTATAAATATGTCTATGTATATATGATATATAATAATGTATATAATAAAATGCATGTATCCATAACTAAATACACAAATAAATATATTTCAATATGTAAATATATAAATATATTAATATCTATCTAAATATATGTATCTTCTGTTTCTCTGAAGAACTCTAAGAAGTCTCTGAGAACTCAGTAAGATTTACTATAATTTATTTAATTATAAGCTTATACAGGTTGTTTTTGAGTAATGGCTGTGTTTCATAACCAGCTTGTAATATTCCCAAAACATCTCACAATTGACACTCACATGCTCATTTTTCCAGCATGCCATTATCTATAGTTTTTGTAGCTCAGTCAGTTTTACTATAAGAAAACTTTACCTGAGCATGAAGAAGGGAAATATGCCAGAAGAAATCATTTTGCCTTGGAGGAATTGGTTGGATGTCCACATCAGACCAGTGGACAGCAAAAATATTGACAATTCCTGCCTGGGGGCTATAGCATGGCTATCCATGACATCTGTCATAAAGCTTCAACTGTAGCCCTGGTAGTGTTAAGCCCACCAATGATAGTGAGGCAGTGAAGGGGGAAGACAGGCAACACCAGGAGAAGGGCTTTCTAGAAGGCTATTCTTTGCAAAGCACAATCTTTAGAAGTATGTCTCATTTCCTGTTCCTCCAGTATAAACATCAATGGAAGTTTGATTAATTTTTTTGAGTAATTGTTAAAAAGTATTTTTACAGGAAGAATTCTAATCTTCTGTGACTGGCCTCAAGTCATTTCATTCGGGGCATTAAAAGATGATGCAGCTTTCTTTTTCCATTTCCACATTGTGATGCCCAGTTATCTGTGGCAATACTGTTAGAGGACCACAGGGAAAATATTTTGATTAATTATGTGAGACTTTAACACCTACCACAAACCTATGACGAAGCTCAAAAAAATTTCATTTTTGAAAGTTACCACACACTAGAGTCTCAAAAAGTTGTGGTTTTATTCATTGACATTATGGGGTACGTTAAATCAACAGATGAATGGAGCAATCCTTGAATGTCAAGCTAAAATGTAAGCATGAAGACCTCTCAAAATTAACACTCTATGTGACAGTGAAAGGATTATACATGATAAGGTGAAAAATGTTTATGTTTAATTAATCTTGACATCATACAGACAACTACCACACTTCTAAGAGCAAGGTAAGTGGAATACTGAGGAGTAATACATGACACATGAATTCTGTTCTTCCTTCTGCCAAAGGCTTCACTCATCAAGGGGTCTTATTTTGTCATGGCTTAAGCCAGTAAAATGAGAGTGGGGTAAAAACATAAGTCACTTGTAATTTTACAGTTCTGACTTGAGCCAGCACAATTCAGCAGCACGGCTGAGGGGTTTTGGTCAAAGACTAATTTCTTTTATTCTCCAAAGAGCAGAGTTAAGAACAACCTTCACCATCCTTAAAAATGCATTAAAGATTCAGCTTTAGAAAACAAACCATTTCACTGAGTACGTTTACCTGTTGCCTGGACTGAAAAAAATATAGGAAGCATAATGCCAAGTGAAAAGCAAAATATATCTAAGACAATGGTGAAAATATACAAGATTCTTTGTATGTTATTTTATTTTATTTTAAAGATTTTATTTATTTATTCATGAGAGACACACAAAGAGAGAGACAGAGACACAGGCAGAAGGAGAAGCAGGCTCCATGCAGAGAGCCTGATGCGGGACTTGATCTCGGGACTCCAGGATCATGCCCTGGGCCAAAGGCAGGTGCTAAACCTCTGAGCCACACAGGGATCCCCAATTCTTGGTATGTTTAGATTTCTTGATTCTTGTCCTAGCAAGTAGCATCTCAATGAAGTAGATCTTTTGATTCACTGATTAAAAGAAACAAAAATGGAAACAATGGTTACTACAAATCAGAAAATATTATGTAACATTGATAATTAACATTTATAAAATTTAAGTAATAGTAAGAACCCTACTGAATGATGACAGCATTACCTCCATTTTGTAGGTATTTAATTAGAAACACTAATTAAATAACTTGGTTTGAAGTCCTGAAGCTAGTTTTGGGCAGAATGAAGAAAAGAACTGAAGTTTCCTACATCCAAGTCCAATTTCCTTTCCATGGTACTAGATTGCCAATCATGCCCAGTAATGGGACATGTCCACTTATCATTCCAAGCCCTGAAGTGGTCAACTGGGTATCTTTTGAGATGCTAAGCTTTTGTCTTTGTGACCAAATAAGAAGATGGGCATCATTTCCAGACTTCCCTACAGAGTGGATCACATCCGGGGTTTCAGCAGGCCATATCAAATGGGGCTTGCTGAAGGAATGAGTGTTGTTCCCAGTCTTAGGACCTGGATGGTCCTTTCTTAAGGAAGTGATAGTTGATGGTGTCTGAGTCGATTTTTCCCTTTATGTCTCTGCAGGTTCAATTCCAGAAAAGATTCATAGAATGGGGTGGAGGGTAAAAATAATTTCCATATATTTTATCCTGAGTTTTCCCCATTTATAATTTTTTTTGTTGTTCAGAGACTATTTTTCACTGAAACAAAGGCCATATTCTGTCAGAGAAGTTGAGTTCCCTGGCCCAACTCATGTAAGATTCTATAAAACACAAAAATAATATGTGGATTATATCTTATTGAAACACTTTACAAGAAATAAAACCATAAAAGCATATAGTATATGTTTGTAAATGTTATTGATCTTCTGACTACCTTGTAAATTATCAGTGGTTAATCAAGAATAAAACATGCTCATCAATAGAGGGTTTTTTAATGAACTTTTCTTTCTCTCATCTTAGTTTGTATTAAACTCATTATGACCTAACAGAAATTTATAGTTTTTAGCATAGATTTAAGTAATCTTAATCTCACAGATGACCATGTAGCCACTTTTCTCATTACTATATTAGTGTACACACAACCCTGGGTTATTTTTGTTCAGTATTGTGGCTTTTTTTTCCTTTCTGAAATTGAGTTATTTTAAAGATGTGAAGTTAAAAAAATATAAAATAAATGATAAAGAATTTCAAAAATTAATAAATAAAAATGATAACTAAATTGTGTTTTGTACATTGTAGAACTCAGTGGTATTCCTTTCTCAAATCTGAAATAAGCGTGAGACAACATTTGGGAACAAAGAAAAAGTAAAAAATGTCTTACATGATATGGTTCAGAGTTTCTTTTCTACAGTCAGCTTCAGATTTTAATTTGCAGGTCTTGGCCTCACAGCAAGGATTGGAACATTCCTTTTAAAGCACACACAGTGGGAAAGTGGGTTCAGCATTTTTTCTATAGACTGAGTGCATACAATTTTAGTACAAGATGGCAAAGAAATTTCATTTTTTAAATTAAATTACTCTACTCTACAGATTCCAGAGGAAATGACCAAGGAAATTTAATAATAGAAAAAAAATGTTAAGTACAATGAAAATGACTTTTTAAAAAGATAAAAATAGAATTACCCAAGAATTATCACAAATAAATTTGGCCTAGATGGTATTGCATGTAATTAATTTAAAACTTAAAGGGAGAATATTTCTATACTATTCAAACTATTTGAAGCTAGGGAAAAACTTTAAAATTCTCAATTTATTTTACTAAGCCTGCATAATTCTGATAATGAGAGCTGGTAATGAATATACACACATAAGCACACACATACACATGTACACACATGTATGCATGCACATGCACACAAATACATGCACACACACATGTATACCTACGCACATGCATGCACATGCACACATAAACACACAAATACACATGCATACATAAATACACACAGTTCTCATTTATGAATATAAATGCAAAAGCTTGAATAAAATGTTAACAAAACAGCAGTTTATTAATATAAGTCTCCATTACAACTATGCAGGGTTTTTTTTCACCAAAAGTAGAAGGGTGTCTCCATGATACAGAATAAAGTAGTATTATCTATCACATTAAGAGATCAAAGGTACAAAACAACTAATATTATTGTGGTAATGGCAAAGATTAGAAAATAAAGATAATATATAAAGAAAGAAAATCTGATAAATAGCAAAAAATATCTAATAAAATAAATAATATGCCACAGATTATTTATAGTCTATATTTTTATGAAAATTCTGACAAATTCTATGAGAGAATGAAAAGATATGAAATTGTAATAATAATTGGAAAGTATAAATCACATTTTCATGCTTTATATGTAATAAAATATTTGACTGGGGAAAAATAGAGAATCAACTCTAAAAACAATGGATTTGTCACTAAGATGGCTTTTCAAGATAATAAGAAAATAACATCAAAAGGAGTAATAAAGTAGCACCTAATATAAAAAAGTAAACATTACGCATACTAATAGCAAAAAGAAAAATAGGAAATACTTCAGAACAAGCTTCATCATATGCAAGAACTACGTGAAGAACTTTATATTTAACTTTCCTGAGAAACTCAAAGGCAACTAATCTTTTAAAACAATCATATTGTGAAAATGCCGGTGGCCCTCAGAGAAAAATATGAATTTCATGTATTTCAATCGAATCTCAATTCTATTTGTGGGCAAATTGATAAAAAAAAAATACCAAGAGCTATATGGGGGAATGAACACTGAAGCATGACTATGCAAATTACACCCTCCAAGATGAACACACTTGCCACTGCAGGTATAACATGCATTGCATGGTTACAGCCACTAAAATAGTGTGATGCTTATGTGATATGTCTAGACAGATTGATGGAATGATTGTTTTTAGGACCTAGAAAAAGACCTAAATAGGTACAAAAAAATAGTAAAGTAGCATATGAAACCATGGAAAATTGGATTATTCACTAAGAGATACTATATAAAATTTATATACTACTTTTAAGGTAAGAAAACAGCTATTTAAAATTCGGCTGTTCATAAGCCTAACTATAGTTCTATTCCACTCCTTAAGAAGAAAATCAACACAAAATGGAAGCCCTACGGGAGCTGGCATATCTACTTAGAGCATATTAGATCTTACACATCACATGGACAGTGTTTCTCTCTCTCTTTCTTTCTCTCCTATTCCTGTCACTGTGTCCTGACCACACGCCATGTGTCTGCTGAAAATCAGAAGTACCTCGGAATGTGAACAACTTCAATTGTCTTCCACCCAAGAAGCCATATGGGAATTTGAGCAAGTAGGCATGAGATAACCTTACATCCAGCTTACTATAAAGTGTCAACCCATTTTTAATACTTTGTATTTCATTATAATTAAAAGAATATTTGTAATACTCTTTACAAATTATTAAGTGATATCATGAAATCTTCTAGTGTAATTCAACAGCTTAAAATGTGTAAGTAAATAACTGAAGCATAGAGAGATTATATGCCTTCCCCATTGTCATGGAGCTTCTTAAAGTAATGAATTAACCTTGGGCTGCCACAGGCTTCATTTGTTACTGGCTTTCGATCTTTGGAACTAGTTACTTAACTTTTCTGAGTCTTACTTCTCTAAATTGGGATAACAAAACCTATTCAGTAGGTTTGTTGTGAGTAATAAAAGAGATATGGTATACATAAAAATTTATTTTTCAGATTGACACATTAAAAAACTTTTCAAATATAACTCATTTTTTTCAGTCTTAAAAGAAGATTGCTAGAAACACAGAATGTTCTCTTAGAAACTTAATGCGGGATTGCTGGCAAATATTCTATCAAAGACATACTTTAAAGCACACTGATACTTTGCAGAGGTCAGATTTTTATAAAGATTAACAGAATTATAATTATTGTACAGAATTGTAATTATCTTAGATGTTTTATATTAATAGCCCATTTTCTACAGGTTTATGTGATTTTTCTTTTACTCCTTCTCTGTGTCATTTACTGCCTGGTTTATACATTGGCTTGGTAAGAGAAGGCCTGGTCTCACTATGGAGAGAACTTCTAGATCTGTAATTGTTTTCACTCAACAAACGATTAACTGTGATTTATGTGATTTAAGAATTTCTGACTAATATGTCTAGAAAAGATAAGTGACATGTTATAGTTAATGATTTACTTCTTTACATCAAACTTTATGCAATCATGTCATAAGTGCATCCTGGCTTTTGAAATGCCTTTCAAAATGTGTCTAAAATCAGTGTTAAAAACACAAGTGCAGGGCACCTGGATGGCTCAGTCAGTTAAGCTTCCAACTCTTGGTTTCAGTTTAGGTCATGATCTCAGAGTTGTGAGATCGAGCCCCATGTAAGGCTCTGTGCTCAGTGTAGAGTCTGCTTGGGATTCTCTCCTTCTTTCCCTCTCCCACTGCCCCTTCCCTCCTTTGCACTATAAACAAACAAACAAACAAACAAATAAATAAATAAAATCTTAAAAAAAAAGAATCACAAGTGCAAGCCTATTTTTTACTATGATGCCAAGCTTGTCTTTAGAAAGAATTTCCAAAAGAATATTTCTTGATGAAGAAAACAGCATAATTCTCATGCTGCAATAATTCTAATAAGTTTTTAAACTGTGGATATTTTCATACCTTCGGAGAGCCACAATCACAGTCTTCTCCTACTTCCAGAAGTTGGTTTCCACACACTGGTTTTGTTATTATGTTTTTAGGAATTGGTGCTTGCAGCAGGCACTTTGGTTTTTGAGATAAAATGTATCTCTCAAAATGTGAACGGCAGGATGTACTGAAATCCTTCGGGAATTTTGAACTGTAACCAGAAGAAAAATCATGATATCTAGTGATAAATGAACATGAGAACCTGACTTGTCTAACTGTAGCACCTGGTTCAATGGAAATTCTAAATTCAGTATCTGGTTAGGACTGTACTACGTTACATGTGGAAGGAGAAAGAGCATTATTTGGAAAATTGTTTTCTTAGACACTGGGCTTGTAGAACTGGAAGAATTTCAATTCCTATGTGGAGGCGATCACTCACAATATTATTATTACAATAATGTGATATTTGTCATTTCCTGTTTGATTTATTTCACTTAGCATAATGCTCTCTAGATCCATCCTTGTTGACATGAAAGGCAAGATTTCACTCTTCTTTATGGCTGAGTAATATTCCACTGTGCGTGTGTGTATTTGTACGTGTAGCATTTTCTCAATCTATTCATTTGCTGATATGTTACTTTCATATCTTGGCTATTGTTAAAAATATGTTAATGTTAAAATTATTTTAAGTTAAAATAACATGGTTACCATACTCAGAATCTCTCACTTGGCATATTTGGAAATCTTAAATAATGAGCACTGATAAGCTGGTAAAACCTGTGTATCAAAAGATTATAGGGTGAATTAATGGAATTCAGCCACTGGTAAAAAAAAAAAATACTCATGCACATAGATTGCATCTGAATTCTTTAAGATTTAAGAAATATATATTTTTTCTCAAGAGTGACAAGGCCTCACCTCAGATACTGGTTCATCACACAACTCCCTGAGGGACACTTGGTATAATATGGAATATCAGGCATACCAAGGACATGACCCAACTCATGTGACATCAGTCCTACAAGAGCCACATTATTCTTTTTCTTAGCCTGGAAAACAGAAATATCTATTACTTAACATATTTAGCTATTTCCTAGTTAATAAAATAGTTCAACAGATGAAAAATAATGAGTCATTAAGCTCCTTTCTGTGTCATTGACTATTGTAAAATGTTGAATTAACATTTGAATTGGTTGACTCCAGTGAATCCAGCCATTGAATCAGTGCTCAATAAATATTTTCTGAGCTAATAAGGAGCTCTTGGTAAACCATAAATAAATTAGGGTAATTACATTCTTCATTCTAACTACTGTACTAGGTATTCAAAGGCCTCCAAAACCTCTTGTCATGATGCTTGATATTGGTAGTGCTTGGCCATATGATACTAAAATGCACCTTCTCTGACCTCTCTGACCATTGATACTGAAGATAATTTAAAGTTGGCTCAGGCCACAGAGGGCATCTGAGTTTCCTTTCTGTTCTAATCTTCCTGTTCTTATTCCCTTACTCCAAGTAAAGAATGAAGACTTCTGGGAGGGCCAAGGTAAGGAGATACTCTGTTTCATAATCCAAGGTATCTTCAGTGTAATGATTTACCAATAGATTCATCTCTATTTTTAGTTACTGGTTCAACAAATGTTCTTTGTGTTACTTCTGTATAATGCATCATTCTAGTCTTCATAGAAGACACAGAAACACAAGGAGCCTTACTATGAGTTTACAAACCTCAATAACAGCAACTGAAGATGGAGAACACAAGGAATTTGATGCTGCCATTCCTATACGTCGATTGTCAAAGCCAAGTCCACTGTGTGAAAATTACAGGCATATTGTCACAATCTGAGTTTTTGGAACCATTAGCTTTTGTCAGTTTTTAGACTTCCCATGTTGCTCCACCCTTTTTATACTCCCTAGGCCCCAGAAAAGCTTCTGCTATTTCATAGTGTTATATGATCACAGATAATCATTACATCCAAGAGCCCATTTTAGTAACCTGACATGGATCTCCACATTCTTACAGGTGGATTCCTAATGGTAGAACTTCAGGCTCTCTGATAACTGCTTGGAGAGATAAAACTGAACAGAAATCTCTGCCAAAAACCCTTTGGGGTAAGTATCCACTCTGCCTACATACATCTGGCCCTGGCCAGCATGTGCTCACCTGAGTAGCTGTGCATGGTCATGTATCTTCATTTTTCTCAGGTTAGAACGATGCCAATTCAGAAAGTTGTTAAAGGTATCACCTGTGTTGGGTACCACCTTGATCTTATCACCATCAGACCAGATTTCCATACCTACCAATGCCACTTGAATGTCTAGGGTATTATAAATCTGTGGGAAGAGCATTTTTCTTCATGAAAATGTTTGAGATTTCTTTATTGCCATAGATATTTTGTTGACTATAAGTGATAGATAGGTGTACTGCATTTTTAAAATAGAAAGTCTAGAAGTTGCTTTTGCTATAGTATGTGTGATTTTATTTTATATTGATCCTTGCGTGTTAAATTCCCCAAAGCTGCTGACATGAAACAGGACCCTCCCGACTCCTTATTTGGCAAAACCATAAGGAAGTCCCAAACTTCTATGTGGAAATACATGTTTCTTAGACAAATATCTTACCACATTGAGTAGGTTCATCACATCAAACACAAAGCTTCTCATCGAAGTTAGATTCCCCTTGTGTATGTTATACTATAAAATACAAAATGCAAACATGTTTTTTAAAAAAATTTGATATGGTACAGATTTTAACATTTTAAGAAAAAATACACATTCCAACATAAGTAAAAGCATATTCATCATTCATCCCTGACTTATATAACACTGTTTCAACAAAGTGTTTTTAAAGAAAATAATTTTTTGGTAAGAAAAAAATAGACATTCATATATATTTCACTTTTTCACTGAAAAGTGAAAGAAAAAGTTGAAGAAATCAAATTAACAATTTTAATATTTCTAACCAATTCAATGTTATTAAAATTTGATTATAAAGCAATATTTGCTAATTTAGAATCACAGATTCTAGTATTTTATGGATATAAATATACTTTGTAAAATGTATATAGTTCTGTATCTACTTTATATTTATATAATAGAGTGAGAATTTTTAATATATTTTAATAAACCATTCCTTTTTGTTTTTCATCATTGTGGTTGATTTCTTATAGCTATCTGGTATGAAGTATACTTCCAATATCTGAATATATTGGCAGCAGGTGGATGTTAAAGGGTCAGTGAACAAGTGAGAATTACTGCCAGCAAGGCAGGTAGAAAATACATGATGACCAGGTGACCAGAGTCTGCATTTTCACCTAGGATAGCTTATTTCCTGTGTTCACTTGATAAGAAAACTTAAAGATTGACTTAACTGCTCAAGAATCATATACATTTCATACTCACAAAGGCATTATCCAGCACCAAAAAGAGATCAATGTATTTCTCAGCCTGAAGAAAATCTTCTTGCTTTACAAAGAGTAAAATAACATGGTTAATATTTATCCTAAAAGATTGAAAAACTTGCAATGAGCTTTTTTTTCCCCAGAGGGAAATTTAATTTAAGAATAAATGAATTATAGGGTTTACCGATATCAGTAACTGTTGAACACAATGGTATATCATATATCATTGCTGAGACAATAGTAAGAAATAATGACATAGGAAATCTACACTTACCTCTGGACTATTGAGTGATCTAGAGGTTCGAATATGGCCTTGCTTCCTGCCAACATTTCTCACACCACAAGTGTGATTAGCCAGGTCTAGTTCCTCCTGGTTATATGTGAGGATAGCATGTTCTTCTTGGTCTGTGCTTTTCAGAGGCTTTATCACATATCTTCGGTTATGATGTGTGAAGTATCCCCTGTGAGATACAGAGACTCATATTTCAAGATTCTTTGCCACACAGAGTCACAGTACTGACAAGAACGGAGTATACCTCTTCCCAAATCCTAAGCTTTAGTTTTCATTCATACGACTTCCAGCTAACTTTTACTAACTTAAGTTATAATCAGTATTTGTCAATAGAAAAATGAAGAAAAAGAAAATTCTAAACAAGAAGTGCTAAGCTGAAACTATCCCAAAGAATTTAGAATATATGTCATAAGCTCCATAAATACCTGTCCATAGTTTGTTTATACACTTAGCAAATAGGAATATCATGGAGGATGAAGTAAACAAGTGTTTAGATGCTAAGAACCCCAGAGATAAAGAATCATGAGCAAATTATCCAGAGGATCAAGCTGGAGCTAGTAATAGCTTAGAGAATTCTTATTTTTAGCAGGAAAATCAGTTCAGAAATGTAAAGTGAATTCATATGATGGAGGATTACAAATGCAGACTAGACAGTCATTAAAAATTACATTGATGAAGGCATTTTATGATATGGGAAAGGCTTAAGATATGTGGTATGAATCATGTTAAAAGAATAATTAGGTATATTTCTTTCATATTTCAACCACATAAAAGGTAAACATCTATATGCATAAAGGCTGAAAACATGACAAAATATTAGCGAAAATGACCAATCCTAAGCACAATTTTGTGGTTGTTACTTTTTTATTTGTACTTTTTCTTACTTTCCAAATTTTCCCTAATTTGCAAGAATTATCTTTGTAAGCAGAAATATTCACATGTGCATATGAACACATACACTTATGAAATGATTGTAAGGGTGATACTTTATTCTTCATTTTAACAGCATTTTATCTATGTAGAATATTTGGCAAGATTGTAAGACAACATTCAGGAAGACTCAATTCTGTATAATAGAATGGTGCTTAATGTTTAATAATTTTGTAAGTGACTCACCTCAATCCATTACAAGTATTAATGCTGGCAACAGAATCCTTTTCATTTAGTATGTGTCCTTTATAGTAGCAATGTTCCTAAAGATGGAAAAAAATATTTTTTTGACTACAAGAATAAACATATCATGATTGTGGTGAAAGCTGTTATTTTGAATATGTAGGGAGGTTCTTCAAATAGCCGCAGTAGCCAAACCAGTTCCCAGAAACAAAAACAATGAGAACTTGAGAGACTGAATAATCTGTTCCACTATCGACTTTGGAAAATCCGTCTTTGATGGCTGAGTTGTCTTTCTGGCACTCATTTCAAGAAAGAAAAGTCCCAGGAGTGTGAACTTAAGTGGGCTCCTGATGAAAATGGGCGCTGCATCTGAGAAGTGGCCATCCCCCTTGGGATTGACAGAGAACTCTCAAGTCTCAGCACCCACTTTTGAGAATTTGGCTTCCCTGTGCTGAGCCCCTAAGACACTGTGCATCACATATCAATAAAATGAGGTACCCATTTTTCTAGATTCCAGAGTTCTCAAGAAGTCACACTACCACTCCTGATATTAGCTGGTCCAACCTGTCATTTTAATTGGTGTGTTAGTGGAATCCCTTTACCAGCATTAAAACCACAGAAAATTTGTTTACAACTAGAGATTCAGACATGATTGGTGCTCCATGTAAGCAAAGTAGGAGGTCACTTATATAGAATGATCCAACAAAGCTTTTATTGCTCAAAATAAACTGACTTGTTTTAGGGTCAGAAATCTCCCATCCATGTTTTTCTTGCCTTTGGAAGAAACCTTGTCATCATGAACATTTTCCTGTAAAGGACTTGGAAAAGGTACCAAATAGAGATATCATCAGCCATTCACACTTGAGCATGAATTAATTTAAATGTTACCAAAAATCCAGATATCCACGAAATGAAAGTTTTTATGTGAGAAGGGAACAAAGAACGATTTTGTGACAGCAGTTTTGTCTTTTTATAGACATACATGTTTGGGGTTGCCCGGGGAGAGTGGCTCTGAGAAATTCACTTAGCTTGGTAATACACCATGATTGTCTTTTTGTATTCTCTTCCTTTCCTCCCTTGGCATTGATTTTCTATGTCTGACTCTAGGCCTTGGCATTATCTCTAGCATGTAGGTTTAATGAAATATAAAATTAAATTAATTAAATAATTGATATCCCATTTCTGATCTCAGGTATATGCATATATTATTCACAAATAGTAAATAGCTAAATGAGGTTTCAAGTAGGTAAGAGGGAAAATATTTCTAACTTTTTGATAAGATGGTCTAGAGGAAAGTGGACTTGTAGTTGCTTCTACAAACGCGATACTTTGAAGCCTCCCACTATCATTAACCTTGTAAAAAAGCTGACTATGATTTTCTCATCTATTGTCTCTTTGGTCATAGAAGAGCACCTTGCTCCCTAGTCCTTTATTTATTTTTTGTCCTTGACCCTATGCATCTTACAACATAAATGGCAGATCACAGAAAGAGTCTCAGAAAGCATTCAGAACTTACCATGTTCTGAGGGCTGGTAGTGATTTCCTCTCCCCCGGGTGAGTAATATGTTTCAGTGTAGTCTGGCCCCAGGAGATGTCTGCAAAGTTCAAAAAATTGCAAGATACACTTAGGGTGGTAATAGGGGCTAATATTCCTGATATGATATTCAGCACTAAAGGAATGATTATGCCTACAGTGAGAAACAGCAGACATTTTGACCCATTGATCCTTTTTCTGACATTGAAATGCTGCTGCTGAAGCAAATCAAAGCATTAATTATATCCATTAGATTAAAGGGAAGAAATGCCCCCAGATACTTTTCAGCTGCAAATTCTCTGTCCTCAGATGGGTTATTTTGGAATTCTTTGTGCCAAAGGCCCAGCCTGCAGAGGGTCTCTGAAGGGTGCTGGGTCACAAATATGCATAAAAGACCATTATATTCAGGGAGAAGTTTACTAACAGATGTAGAGCTTGGTGGAGCCCAATCCCCAGGAATCTATCTCAAGGCTATGTGCCCTGAATGACTCTTACATATGTTCTTATCAAAGCAATGGGAAGCCACTTCAACACTTTGAGTTCATATGGGTAAATTTTCAGTAAATTGGGAGAAGATTAGGAAGAAAAGCATTTATCTGCGTTGTTCTCCTTGCTTTATATTTTGCATGAAATTTCCTTAGAAAGCCTCAATCTTCTTAGATAACATTAGCACAATATAATAATAATACCTAAAATTTAATATATTTCATGTCTTCTGTCTCAAATCACAGTAAATAGGGTCTCAAGAAGGTTTATTTTTCATATTCTGTTAATATAATGTAGTGATCAGACTTTCAGGAAGTACAACTTACTTGCTTTTTTGCAGGTGAAGAACAACTTCTTTTCCATTTAATACAATTTGATACTGAAGTTCAGGTTCATATCTTTCCTACAAATATTTAATAATATACTGATATCAATTTATATTTCTGAGTCTATCTAAAATAATTATAATACAATGATAAATTTAGTATATAGAGAAGCAGAATTACAAGTACCTCTACTATAAAATGGTTCTTATAGATTTCAAATATATAAAATAAAACATAAATTTTATATTAAGATGGATTTCAAAAAAGTACAATAATACAGTAATAATACTCACAGATTAACTCTACTATGTAAGATAGGAACTTACTATTTGCCCCACTGTAAAGTATACTGTCCTGTGTATTCTAATGAATCATTCATGGTATAATAATAGTAAGGCACATATTTTTATTACTTTAAAACCAAGTAAAATATACCAAGGAAAACTAACACTAAGGATTAAGGTAAAAATTATAAATATTTGCAGCAATGTAACCAAAAGTTAATATCTTTAATAAATTTTGTAAATCTTGCCAATTAATGAGATAATGGTGAATTCTCCATTAAAGACAAAATAGCCAAGGAAAAGGCAATTCAGTGGGGCAGGAGGTGATGGTAGGGTTTGGTGAACTTGGCAAGAAACATTTCTTTCTAGAAATGGTTGCCCTTCATGTGCTTCCCCCATCCTCCAAACTTGAAGAAATGTCTAAGCAGCTTTATTCTTTCTGATAAAATGAAATAGTTAACTCTCTTCCTACTGCTTAAATGTAAAAGCATCCTGAGAATTCTGCATTCTTTCCTAGACCAAGGGGAGCTGTAGATATGGGCTTCAAAAGGAACTATTAGGCATCAGCTCTATTAGTAAAAAGGCTCTTTGGTGGCTCTTTGATTGTGAAGTCTCACCATCATTCACATTACTTACATCTTTGCCATTCTCTGTCTGGTGGTTTTGTATCTCCCTTTTGTATAAAATGTGTAGTTTTTTAGGACGAACTACTTCATAGAGCTCTAATTCAGGTGTTTGCTTTATGGCTATTGCTAGAGAAAAAGAAATAATATTGATATAACACATTTAAAGGTTTGGGGTTTTGTTTTGTTTTGGGTTGGTTGGCTTTGTTGAGATGGCATAAAAGACTCCATTCCCATCCACAAAGTAAGCATTAAGAAAAGCAAGGTCTTCCTTCTCCTTCTCCTTATCAGCTTTGATAATAAAGAATTTTATTTTGCTCTATCTACTTATTGTGGAAAGATATGGAGATGATGAAATAATTCTTCAGATGATCTCTCAGTACATCAGAGATTTTTAGAACCAGAATTCTTCCCTGTGGCCCAGTTTACTCTCCCCGTGTAGTCCTCTTCAAAATTGTTGATTTTCCTCTCCGTGTTCTCAGAGATCTCTGTTTTTACTTTCTATGTCTTTTTCTCTTTGTGGTGCAAAGAGATAATCCCTGATTACCCCTTCCAAAAAATCCAATATTTCATTAGCAGATAATACCTCATTTTGGGGACACCTGGGTGGCTCAGTGGTTGAGGGTCTGACTTTGGCTCAGGTTGTGATCCTAGGGTCCTGGGATTGAGTTCCACATGGAGCCTGCAGGGAGCTTGCTTCTCCCTCTGCCTATGTCTCTGCTTTTCTCTGTGTGTCTTTCATGAATAAATAAGTAAAATCTTAAAAAAAAAATACCGCATTCTTAGGGAACACTCTACTTCTGTAATGATAAACTATTATGTTCTTTCTCTCATTAGCATTTGTTTTCAAGACTTCAGGTTTCATAGTAAGCAAAGTTTTTTTATCCCCTGCTGGGGCAATTTCAAAGCATCAGATAGCAAGTAGGAAAATTAGATAGCAAGTAGGCTAAATGTCCTTCTTGATACACTTGGTATAATAGTACATAGACAGTTTTGTATTTTGCTTGCATCTAGTAGTAAAAGAACTGATATCAGAGCCAAAATATGTGGTCTTAAGTCCTAACTAAATGGCCTTATAAAAATTATTTTGCTTTCCTATCAGTTTACTTATCTAAAATGGAGATTCATGTAAAAATTAAATAACATGAAATGCATAAAATTATGTAGCGCTAGTCTAGGAAGATGGGAGGTGCACCTTATTTACTTTTTCTTTTAATTGTTCAATCACCCATCAAAGTCAGTCTTATTTTTAAATGCTCCCATTTTCAAAGATAAATGTCAATGCTTAGAGACAATTTCCCATTGAAAGACAGGGTGACCTTGGGAACACCAAGAAGTTTTACACCTGATTGAGGTGGAGAACCTAAAGGAAAATAATCAAGCAAAAATTTTCTCCTACTCAACCCCCAGAGTTTGGCTATGGTGCTATCCCAATAAGGACTCCTTACACAGGAAAATAGAAAGTCTATAAATATATTTCTAAAAGTTTTGTTTAATCAATGGAGAATATGAATCCAATTAATAGAAAAAGTTGTGGGGTTGAGGTTAGAATACATTTAATAGATCTTTATGAGTAACCGTTCAGTTGGTTAAGTTTTAATTTTGCTTAATATTGCTGTTAAGTCTAATTCAGTGCTAATTTTACTTAAAAGTCTTCTTTGTCATCCATCCTAGCACAGTTTTTGGTCAAATTCTATCTTGATAGATGATTTTCTCCTTATGGAGTAGAAAATATCAGTGTTATTCAAGATAACATTGGAGATGGTGAGAAAATTCTTGATTTCTGGCCTGGAAGTTAATCCTCTGGTGTTATTTGGTTTGTGTGCATTTTAGAAAATACAATTATAGATCTAGTAGCATTATTCAATGAGAAATGAAATTTCAGGTACATCCTAACTAAATTATTATACCAATCACAACACCTTGACTATAAGCACGGAGTTTATGTAAATTAAGTAAATATACCAAAATGCCAACAGTAGTGAGCTTTGGGTCATACAAAAATGTTGCTTTCTCAAGAGTACTTTAAAAATGCATCAAATAATTTGACTTTTGTATAAGATGTCAGTATTGTAGTACTTACCTTGAGTTTGAATGATGAGCCAGAGGACAGAAAGTAGTGTCAAAGACATGTTGCCTACTGCAGTTAGCTGAGAAGTGGCACAGAGCATGAAACTGGTCTCCCCAGCACTCGAGTTTTATCTTCCAGTACTTATCTTTACAAATTGAAAAAAAAATCCACAAAAAAAACAAAAAACAAAAAACCTCAAGCATTCTTTGTGAGATTAGAGAATGTTTCTTAATAGTATTGGGAAATTGCCAAGAAATTGCAGTGTCAAGATCATGAGAATGTTCCTCATTTAAGAGAGGTGTTTATGTCTGTGGTTACAGCTTGTTAAGGAATTTCTATCTGGACAGCTGCTTGGCCCTGGTGTTTCTATAGTGGTGGGAAAGAATCAACTGAGACTGAGATGCTTATGTACATATTTGTATATTCACCAAACTGAACCATCACAATTGCTATTCAGTAACCTTTTAGAGGTTAATATAAAATTTTAAAAATATATTAGAAATCCATACATATTTTGAGAAATTGGCACAGAGAACACAGAATCTATAAAGCAAGTAGGTAAGATCTTACAATCTTACATAATGTAATCTCTCTGATCTTTAGTCTCCTTATATATAAAAACAGGTAATAACAATACTTACCTCAAGCTTCTTTTTTTTAATTTTTTTATTTATTTATGATAGTCACACACACACAGAGAGAGAGAGAGAGAGAGAGAGAGGCAGAGACATAGGCAGAGGGAGAAGCAAGCTCCCTGCGGGAAGCCTGATGCAGGACTCGATTCCAGGACCTTGGGATCATGTTTTGAGCTGAGGGCAGATGCTCAACCACTGAGTCACCCAGGTGCCCAGACTTCAAGCTTCTTATAAAATTCATATAAGATAATACACATATGCATGCACACATACACATGTAAGATGTAAAGAAATGCCCAATGTAAATTCTCTTAACAGTATGTGCCTCAACCAAATTATCTTGTGTATGAAGTATATTTGAAGCATACTATGAGTTCTACTACTGAGAAATTACAGCGTTTTTCTGATTACAAAAGTAATGCATTTTTATGGTCATAAATATCAAGAGAATATTGAAGAAAAAAGTTGATTACCCACTGGCCTATCATCAGGAAAGTACTTCCATTTACATTGTAGCATTTTTATACATTTTCTATGTATTAATAAAAGAAAAGAAATAAAAGAAAATTAAAATTTATAAATTTTAGTTTTTATTGTATAGAGGATTTTGGGAACCTGTTATTTTTTTGCACAGCATGAAGCATTTTTTGTATATGTCTCAGTATGTGTATATTTCTCTGATTGCCACTTCTAACTATTCTTGTGGGTAAATTACTAGTTACTAGAAATGGTATTATTTAGTTAAAAAAGGAAAATCAATGTGAGATGCTTCATATACATTGACATGGGACTTCGCAGAGAGTTATCACCGTATTACATTTCCATTTATAGTTTTCCCAGTCTAGAAATCTATGCTCTTTAACTGCTGAGGCTACTTTTCATCAATACATTTGGGAACTTGCTAGGATCTGATTGTAAGTTTTATAGTTACTTCTCTATGTCTAGCCTGTTTTCTATCCTCTTGCATTCTTTTGAGTCATTTAAGTTTTCTTTGTAATTTTATACTTGTTTTGCTGATCCAGAAGATAAACATTTTACATACATCCTATTGTGGTTGCCATTGAAATTTAACAGAATATAATCTTAATTAACATCTCTACTATCAATAATACAAAGCTTTGACATGATTTAACTCTTCTCCACAACACACTCCTTGCTACCTTACATGGTGTTGTCAAATATTTTAGCTCTATCATGATTCTCACCCCCCAAGTTATTCATTATTATTAGTTGTGTGTTTATAGAGATGATGCTAATTGAAATCATATATATATATATATATATATATATATATATATATATATATACACATATGTACCACCTTCTTTGCCCACAGGTTCTTTTAACACCAGTTCTTTAAAAAAATAGAAATTTCCTGGTGAAACATATAGTTGACCCTTGAACAATGTGGTGGTTGGGAATATTGAACCCCTGTGCAGTTGAAAATCTGGTTATAGCTTTTGACCACCTAAAAACTTAACTAATAGCCTACTGTTGATCAGAAGCATAATGATAACATATTCGATTAATGCATATTTTGTATGCTATATGTATTGTATACTGGGTATACTTATAATAAAGTAAGATATAGAAAAGAAAATGTTGTTAAGAAAATCATAAGGAAGAGAAAATGGATTTATAGTATTGTACCATATTTTTCTAAAAAAAAAAACAATCCAAGTATAAGTGGACCTATGCAGTTTAAACCTGTGTTGTTCTGGGTTAACTGTATTCCTTGATAAACACTTCATTGAAATTTTCTCAGAGAAGTACTTTCATGATTTGTTTGTTTTGTTTTGTTAAATTTTTGCTAAGAGTACATTTATTTTACTCTATTCTTTAATGGTAGTTTAGCTAGAAATATCGTTTTATTTTTTATTTTTTAAGGATTTTATTTATTCATGAAAGACAAACACACACACACAGAGAGAGAGAGAGAGAGAGAGAGAGAGAGAGAGAGAGAGGCAGAGACCCAGGCAGAGGGAGAAGCAGGCTCCATGCAGGGAGCGTGATGTGGGACTTGATCCAGGGACTCCAGGATCACACACTGGGCTGAAGGCAGGTGCTTAACCGCTGAGCCACCCAGGGATTCCCGAAATACAGTTTTAGAATGAAAATGTCTTTCGGTATTTGGGAGCTATTTTATTACCTTTGGCAACTATTTTTCCAGTTGAAAATTCTATTTTCACTCTATTAATTGGAATTTCCTTTTGTTTATTAATTATCCAAGAGTATTGCAAAAGAAGTTAAATATTTATGGAGACCATGTTAAGTTTGAGTTTATATTAAGTTAATACTACATTTCTGGGCTTTCCAAGATGACTCTAAGACTATCTCTACTTTTGAGATATTCCTGAAACAAAGTCTAATTAAGATAAATCTACAAACAGATACAATTTATGCAAATGGTAAACATGATGATTGAGATAAGTGTGTTGTGTTAGAGTAGATTTTAGAAGTATATCATTTGGTGGGTGGAAAGAACTAGATAATCTTAATTGAAAATTAAATAGGGAAGAGAAGTTAAAATGCAGGAGGAGTAAGGGGACCCAAAGCTTGCCTTATTCCTTGAACACAGTTAGATAAATATCAAATCATTTTGAACATCCAAAAAACTAATCTGAGGATAGAAAGAGCAAAACTGCATAACTAGAGGTAGAAAACACTGCCATAACCTGGAAGGCTGATCTGTGGAGAGTTGATTTGGGGGATAGAAGCTGCAGGTGGTATGAAGAAGAAGGAGCCTTGATCATGGAGAGAGGAGTGAGAGAAAAAGAAAGAATGAAACCACATGGAAGGAATTGCACAAGAAAAACTCTTTCCCAAAACCATTGACTGGGAAAGGGGAGGAGATGAATACCACAAGGTTTTTTTCTTTTGTTTTGTTTATAAGATTTATTTATTTTAGAGTGAGGGAGAGTGCAAGTGGGAGGAAGGGCAGAAGGAGAGGGATAGAATCCCGAACAGGCTCCACACTGAATATGAAACCTGTTACAAGATTTGATCCCAGGACCCTGAGATCGTGACCTGAGCTGAAATCAAGAGGCAGACATCTGACTGACACACTCAGGTACCCCCAAAATACCACAAGTTTTTACAGAGCACAGAATCTGAAGTTTTAGAGGTCTGTACCTTCATTAGGGTCATGCCTGGCAGGCTTCATGGTATACCAGTGGGGAAGGAAGATGGAGCCCCAGGAGTGGGCAGCATGGTCTGAAGAACCCCTGGGTCACAGGGAAGAGGCTCAGAGTACATTTTGGGGGTGATGGCACAGCTTCTCCAGGAGCAAGGGAACCGGCAGCACCAGCATGCTGCCCTGTCCTCTACCACTGGAACAAAGACAACAGTTCAAGGCAGCAAACTTTCATGCTGGCTTTTAGCTGCACTTTACCACAAACTCTGAACTGCTATATGGTTGCACAACTTATTTCTGGGACAAGTCGGCACTGGCTGCAGTGCAGCAAGACCCTTACTCAGAGGATCAGCATGGGTCCAGGCCATGTAGATCTCTAAAACTTGGAGTTTTGAAATCCAGTCATTTGTGCCTGAGATAAAACACAGGAGTGTTGTGCAGCGTGACAGGCAGACAACTGGAACACAGGCAGGATGAAGGCAGGGATCTGGCAGCACCCTGAGACACAAGAGAGGTAATTGTTTGCTCTTCTTAGAGGGCTTCCTGAAAAGTGGTGGGAACAAGCTCCTGCTCTAAGGATGAGAGAGCATGGCAATGCCATTCTCTACCCCCATCAGCCCTGACTGACTTCAGGGAGCAAAACAGCACCACCCAGTGGAGGCCAGAGCTGCTTACACTGAGCCCCAACTCCTGTGACCTGCAGGTGCATCTTCATTAGGGGAGTTCACCTAAGAATCAGAGCAGCAGGCCCCTCCCCCACAAGGCCCCTACAAACCACTCACTTGCACCGAGCCTACTAATTTAGAGTGCTGCAGAGCTTCAACTCTAGGAGAAATAGGATATAGCTTCCCCTTTTTCTTTTTTATAATTTTTAAAAGATTTTATTTATTCATTCATGAGAGACAGAGATTGAGAGAGAGAGAGAGATGCAGAGACACAGGCAAAGGGAGAAGTAGGCTCCATGCAGAGCCCGACATGGGACTTGATCCCGGGTTCCCAGGATCAGGCCCTGGGCTGAAGGCAGCGCTAAACCCCTGAGCCACCTGGGCTGCCCACCCCTCTTTTTCTTTTTTAATCTAATTTCTTTCCATGAACAGATCAACACACATGTAGGATCTAACTTCATTTAATTTTTTTTTAATTTTTAAAAATTTATTTATTGTATTTTTTTCTAAATCTAGCTTCTTCTCATAAGCAGACCAAAACACACCTAGGATCTAGCTTCTTTTTGTTGTTGTTGTTGTATGTTTTTGTTTTGTTTTGCTTTGCTTTGGACCACTTTTTAATATAGTCATTACTTTCAGGAGCAGGAATACAACAGGCTTTACTAACAATCACACATACCAAAAAACAGTGA